TAGCCCCGGGTGTGTTTCCTCCATCCATGGTTTTCCTTTTCTTTTTTTTTTACGTTATTTCTCTGGCTCTGGATCTGTCTGTCTGTCTCTCTCTGTTTCTCTCTCTGTTTCTCCCTCTTTCTCTGTCTGCTTGTCTGTCTGATTGTATGTATGTCTGTCTCTCTATTTCTGTGATTTTCATCATAGTAGAGTAAAGAGAAAGAGCGACATAGAATTATGCAGACGGAGATTGGTCGAGAGAGAGAGAGAGAGAAAATGGAAATGAAAGACAGTATTGGTAATAAGATAAAAAAAAGAAAAACAAGAAAAATAGATACGAGTAGAAGAGAGGAATTAGTAAAAGGAGAGAGAAAGATAAAAGATAGGACAAAAAAAGAAAACGGACTAGGTAAAACAAACCAGGGAACAAAAGCAAAATAAAAGGAATGAAGTAAAGGAGAAAGAGAAAGCGGAAATGAGAGAGAAACAGAAAGCGAAAGAAATGAGATACAGATAACACGGAAACGGAAGAGAAAAAAAGGTGAAAATGACCGAGCAAGAAAGAGATTAAGCAGACGTGAAAAAGTGACGGAATACAAGGAAACAAACGAGAGAGAGTATGACAAAAACAAGAAAAAAAAGAAGAAAACCAAAAAGCTAAAGATAAATGACGAATGAGGAGACACGAAAGACAGCCCGATACACAAAAGCGAAAAAAAAAATGTCCCAAGAGATAAGAAACACCCTGAGGACACTTACCTAACGCTGATAATTTTCGACAAGTCTCCGATAAAAACGGCGAGCGATAACTTGCGTGTTCCTGCCTCCATCTTAGTAACAGATAGGAAGTTACCTGCGCGGGACCCTAAGGTGTGTGATTTGGCCGGGGGGAGGGGGAGAAAGGGATGGGGGGGGGGGTGTTTGGGAAAATGGGGGAGGGGAAAAATCAGGGGAGAATGGGGGAGGGAGAGGATGGTGGGGTTAGGAAACATGGGGGAGAGTGGGGAGAATTGTGGGCGGAATGGAGGGTGGTGATCAGGGGTGAATGGGTAGAGGGAGGGGGTAGAGAGGGGAAGAAAGGGGTCAGGGGGTAGATGTAGGGGGGGGGGAAGGATGGTTCCAGTGGAGAGTGGAATTAAAAGGGAAGGTTGGGGAAGGGTGAACATGAGAGAAGGGAGAGAGGAAGGGAAGGAGGGAAAGAGGGAAGGAAGGGAGGAATCGTGAGGGAGAGCGGAGGGGACGAGGGAATCTGGAAGGTAAATAGAGGGAGTTAGAGACAGGGGTTCCTTGTTGGCACCTCAAGCTAATGGAAGGGGGGGAGGGGGGGTGTAGGAGGAAACAGATAAGGAGGCAATCGGGTCATGGTTAGAGGAAACAGCGCCCCCTGTCTACGTATTATATATATATATTTTTTCCCTAGATATTGGGTAATTGCGTATGTGTATGTATGTACGTATGTGTGTGTACTTTGATGTCTGTGTGTACATTTTCGTTATCAACCGACATGTACCCAACAGCGTGGAAAGTCACTCCTGGCGCTAGAGTGGTGGGAGGGTGTGTGTGTGGGGGGAAGGGGGCAGTTTGGGGGAGTAGGGGTACGAGAGGGACGAAAAGTAGGAGGGGGGTTGAGGAGAGGTTGGAGGTAGGGTATAAGGGGTAGGAAGGGAGGTGAGGAAAGCGAGGGGATAAGAATTGCAGGAAGAGGAAGAGTAGGAAGAGGAGGAGGAGGAGAAGGAGGAGGAGAAGGAGGAGGAGGAGGAGAAGGAGGAGAAGGGGGAGGAGAAGGAGGAGGAGGAGGAGGAGGAGGAGGAGGAGGAGAAGGAGGAGAAGGAGGAAAGGAGGGGAGGAGGAGGAGGAGGAGAAGGAGGAGAAGGAGGAAAAGGAGGGGGAGAAGGAGGAGGAGGAGGAGGAGGAGGAGGAGGAGGAGGAGGAGGAGGAGGAGGAGGAGGAGGAGGAGGAGGAGGAGGAGGAGGAGGAGAAGGAGGAAAAGGAGGGGGAGGAGGAGGAGGAGGAGGAGGAGGAGGAGGAGGAGGAGGAGGAGGAGGAGGAGGAGGGGTGGGGCACAGTGGCACGAGGGAACGGGTTAGGCGGGAGGGATAAGGGTACAGGGGGCATCCGACAATCCCTCTCGAGTACCACGTCCGCCGCGTCTCCTGCGAGTACCCGTCAGGAGGCCCTCGAGACGGACGCGCGTGTGGGACCAGCACAACACCCGGGGATTATCCGCGAACGGGTGGCAAGTCTGCGTGAGGCCGGGTGTTGCGCTCGTCTTACGGAGGTGTTCGAGAACGTACGCCCTTCTTCTCGGTGCTTTGTGGAGAGTTTGCGACAATTATGTTGTGAGAAAGAGAATGTAACTTTCGAGAGAGAGAGAAAAAAAGAAATAGAGAGAGATAAAATAAACAGATATGTACATTAAAAAGAAATTCGGATCGTGGTGTGAAGTATCTGTTGGTTGAGAGAGAGAAAAATGAAATAAAAAACGGAAAAGAAAGAAATCAAGTACCGCGCAATGCATGTG